ATTTAAAATATTTACATATATAAAGCTGTGATCATGAAGTTGTTTGGAAATATAGTTTAAAAATATTTAATATTACCAATGACGATGAATACGAAACGAAAAACACTTTTAAATTATTCGTGTTAAAGTATTATTTGCTTGGTTTTTTATTGCTGTAGACGCGAAGGCAATTTGGGTCATAAGGTGTTTTGTTACGGCATACATGACTTATACATAGACATAGGAATATCAGCCATTGCGTCAAGAGAGATAATTTTTTTTTTGCATAGATGGGTGGACGGGCCACCTGGTTTTAAGTGGTTATCGGAGTCCATAGACGTCTACAACGTAAATGCCACCACCCACCTTGAGACATGAGTTCTAAGGCCTCACTTTTAACAGTACATCTCTATTATTTTTTTCTCAATCTATTACAAAGGCTGTTCTTGGCTTAATATTTAAATCAATTGTCTCAAGATAGGCAACTTTGACAGCTTGAGTTTAAAATCGCACGTGCCATCCAGACTGTAGAAGTGCCGACTTTCTCGGCAACCACATGCCATCTACAAGAGATTTTCATCTTAATGTGCAATCAAAAAATGCATAGAAAAATTTACGTTGTATTATCAACTAGCTTATCGTAAGACTACACTTAACATAGCTTTGGCAACGATCTATGCTCAGCAGTTGGTAACCTATATCTTTATCAGCATTCAAATTGTTTTCATACCGATTGTCAAAATTGGTTCAGGGACTTAGACGTGAAAACTTAACAGACACTTAATTCGTATTTTTTTTTATTGCTTAGTTGGGTGGACTAACTCACAGCCCACTTGCTGTTAAGTGGTTTCTGGAGCCCATAGACATCTACAACGTAAATGCGCCACCCACCTTGAGATACAAGTTCTAAGGTCTCAAGTATAGTTACAACGGCTGCCCCACCCTTCAAACCGAAACGCATTACTGCTTCACGGCAGAAATAGGCAGGGTGGTGGTACCCACCCGCTCGGACTCACAAGAGGTCCTACCACCAGTTTACACTTTTAGTATGAACAAGGTAATGTAAAAACTGAATGCGTCCCATTGAAAATTGATTCCATCGAGTATTATTTATTGAGTAGTTATCATGCAATTGTGCCAACTCGCAGATTGGTTTTGCATGTTTCCCTCAGGTTTCGATATCCTCATTAGTTTTACTGGCGTGATGCGACCGATTTTTTTCTAAAAAAGTATTTATCTTTTAATATAATAATATATTTTAGTATCTTTTAAAAAAGTCTATCTTCATTACTAAGATTCTAAGAGGGCCTTTAACAGTACTGGTGGTAGGTCCTCTTGCGAGTCCGCATGGGTAGGTACCATCACCCCGCCTGTTTCTGCCGTGAAGCAGTAATGCGTTTCGGCTTGAAGAGTGGAGCAGCCGTTGTAACTATTCTGAGACCTTCGAACTCATATCTCAAGGTGGGTGGCGGAATTTACGTTGTACATGTCTATGGGTTCCAGTAACCACTTAACACAACAAAAAAAAAAATGCCGCCATTGCCAGCTTCTTTTCATGTCAGCTACCACAGTGCGTGGCCAGATCAGCTTGGGACGGCCTATAATCCGCTTCCTCTGGAAGGGGGAACCCTGGGGTTCACATCGGGTGTCTATGGATGAAGCAAATTTATAGATTACAAAAAAAAACAAGCTAGAAATTATGTTTTTCCTACCTCTGCTGATAGCTTGAGAGGCTATTTCAGCTTCACCCTTACATGTAGGTGAGTTCACGGAGCTCAAACCGGAGTGTTGCTAACACTGGCCCTAGCAAGAGGAGTGCTTCGCAGAATCTATCCCCGGATCGGAAACGCGACCCACTAAGAAGATCCGGTAAGAAACTCAGTGGGCTGTGTCTGTGGGTTAATTCGCTCGTCGAGCCCTTCGTCGCAGGCCACGGGTTCGACGAGGACAGTAACCGGGGCAAAAATAAAAAATACATCCATATATATATTTATTACACAGGTTGCGTCGTCTACTCTGATGTAGATCTGATGAAACATCACTATTATTTAACTTAAAACAAAAAGGAATCGATAAGAAAGAAAAAGATAAACATCAAACTCTACAAAGCTCACAGTAAGCGCGGGTGTAAAGCAAAGCGTAGAGCTTGGAATCATAAATGAGAGGGGAGAGGAGCCCGCTGACAAATCGCTCGTGGTTTGGTCCCTCTTTATGGCCCACTATTTGTCTGCTTTACCGAGATTAAAAAGCTACAGGCGAAAAGGTTCGTTCACATTAACTCGACATTTCTCTTTTTTCTTAAACAAAGTAAAGGTAAGGAGCAAAATTGTTGAAGGATCATAGCATAGCGACATTTCATTTGATCGGATTGTTCGGAATAATGATAATACAGTAATTTGTTGGCTCACGTGGATGACACAATAAAATTCCATACATTTGCGTGCCAACATGCAATTATCCTAATATGAGTACATTATGAAGATGCTGCCAACGTGAGTATTCGTGAGCACTCGGGAGCATCAATTGGATATGCTGTCACGTTATGTAAATAGTTCACCATAACATTTTTTTATATTTTCAAAATAATCCTATTTTCGAACTCACGTCTGAAAATGTCACCTCTAATACCACTAATCCAAGCGAACTCCGAACTCTCGGCAGTAAAAATAATTTTCATAATTTCCGAATTATCCATTTTAATGTTTAATTAAAAGTATTACCCGACAGTGTGAACGCGGCTTTGTCTGCGAGCGTCCGAACCGTAAATTAATTTAATTGCCATTTTTCGAGATTAATTAATACGTGAACCTTGTTTCGGGTTAACAGCGTTTGTTTATTATTCATATTATTTTTGATTATGCAGTTGGCGACTGTTGTTTTACAAGCACCGGAGCTTTCGGGAACTTTGTGACTTAATTGTTATATGTATAAGTTTTGCAATTTTTTCTTTTTTTTTCAAACCTAAAAAATTCGGTTCGCCGAAATACTAACTACCAGGACGGATTCGCTACACAGGGTGTGTTTTTTTCATAACCCCGTAATGTATTAATATGAACTATATTTTTTGCGAGTCTTGATTGAATGTTCTTCGATTTATTCGACTTGGAAGTCATGTATTTATATAGTCGTATTAAATATAAGTCCAACTACATCTTATCTGGTAGACCACGGATGTTTTGACTGATACCGCTTGGATTTTTTCTGCTGCTTCTCAAAGTTCTTTTGGAGGTATAACGATGGAGAGAAGATCTTCCACCGAGCAGGTGATATTGCTCGGTAGACCGACGTTCCGAATGTTGTTGTTCGGAACTTGTATATATGCAAGCTCATCTTGAAAATGTCGTAAGCGAGATTCAGGCATCTATCTGTCAAATTACTTGTGTTCTGTGATGGCTACATTCTCAAAAAGCTTTTAAAACGAAGCAGACCGTGAATCGGGAATAAGCCGGTTATACTTAATAAAAATAAAAAAAAGAGTAAGAAAAAAAAAACACGCTTTTATAGAAAATCCAATTAAAAAATAGAAAATAAATTTTAATTAAAAATAGTGTAAGAAAAAATGATTTTATTATAAAAAAAAGCAAATTTCGAGTTAATCCGACGTTTTAAAGGGGGTCAAATTCTTTTTTTTTATTCCTTAGTTGGGTGGACGAGCTCACAACCTACCTGGTGTTAAGTGGTTACTGGAGCCCATGGACATCTACAACGTAAATGCGGCACCCACCTTGAGATATAAGTTCTAAGGTCTCCGTATAGTTACAACGGCTGCCACACCCTTCAAAACGAAACGCATTACTGCTTCACGGCAAAAACAGGCAGGGTGGTGGTACCTACCCGCGCGAACTCACAAGAGGTCTTACCACCAGTAAGTAAATCATGCTCAAAGATTCCGTTACATACTAACATACGTATGTAGCTAATAAAAGCGTATATGATAAACCATACTGTCTCATCCTTCATGAAATATGTACATTAAATAGAAAATACAGTTGACGGCTGCTATAATTAACCAATGACGGACGGACAGTCGAACAATAAAATAGCTACTAACATAGATCGTCTGGATTTATAGCACGATAGCGATTTATTTGCGTACCGGGTCATGAATCGGTGCGTTTTTGTTCGCGATATGTCGCCTCGTGACGTCATCAAAATTATTGCCAACCAAATGCTTTATTGTGACTGGGAACAAGGACGATGATAACTATAATCGTCTTTTTTTGGGGTTGAAGGTAGACGATTCCATTTCTTTATTGTTCGGGCCGTAAGAGGGACGATCCTTCTTCGAGGTGTCAGCGCCTAAGAGGCACGCGGGATATGTGGGACTTGACTAGACGATTCAATCTACCACTGCAATATGCAAAATCTTTTAAAGAAAAAGTTTCGTGGTGACAGCGAAACAACGCAATTTGTATTATGGTTATGTATTGACGATTCGGTGAACCAACTTAGGGCCCACTTGATGGTGGTAGGACGTCTTGTAGACCCGCTCGGGTAGCTGCCACCATCCTGCCTATTTCTGCCGTGAAGCAGTAATGCGTTTCGGTTTGAAGGGTGCGGCAGCTGTTGTACTGTAAAAACTGAGACTTATAAGTCATGTCTCAAGTTGGGTGGCGGTTTTTACGTTGTAGGTGTCTATGGGCTTCGGTAACCACTTAACACCAGGTAGGCCGTGAGCTCGTCCACCCATAAAAGCAATAAAAAAAAATGTCGCGTGACAGCTGGAACTCATAGACATTACAACGTGAATACTGACATCTAACTAAAGCAACGAGACAACTAAGTTGAAATCTTAATTGTATTGAATAGTTGCTGTACCACACACTTCAAATTGCAACGCACGACGGTGTGTAATAGGCAAGATGGTGTTGCCGATGCCGATTTTTGCAATTTGCCCTACGGTCAGAAGTTGCCATTTTGGAATCACAGTACGCCGGTAAAATTTAAAGATAACTTATTATTTTGAAGAAAACAATGAGGCTTTTAGTTTCGTGAGTTACAGATTTACATTATTGTTCCAGGCCAAAAAGCGGCTCGATGCTGCTGTACAGCCGGAAGAAAGTGCGGTACCGACGCGATGGCTACTGCTGGAAGAAGCGCAAGGACGGGAAAACCACCAGGGAGGATCACATGAAACTCAAGGTCCAAGGCACGGAGGTTAGTGTGATTATATCTTTTGGTTAGCGTATTTGTTGAGGTGGGAACAGACAACACATCTGTTGTGGACAACACATCTGTTTGAAGTCAAGCGTTATCGTGTAGGAGCAGCGAAGACGAGTGATTTTTTTTTGTTCCTTAGATAGGTGGATGAGCTCACAGCCCACCTGGTGTTAAATGGTTAATGGAGCCCATAGACATCTATAACATAAATGCGCCACTCACCTTGAGATATAAGTTCTAAGATCTCAGTATAGTTACAACGGCTGCTCTACCCTAACTGAAACGCATTACTGATTCACGGCAGAATTAGGCAGGGTGGTGGTACCTTCCCGCGCGGACTCACAAGAGTTCCTACCTCCAGTAATAAATGGATTTACGATTAACACCGGTTGGTCGGGAATAGGCGAGACTCTTCATCATTATGTCCAATTCTTTACATATCCGCAATAGTGCTGGTGTCATTTAGTATGAGGCTGTGATGAATTATACCGGCACTAGACCACCAAACAGGTGTGAATTTTTTAGGGGTTTTCGTTTGGAGCATCACCTAGGTGCTAAAACAGGGTCTAATCAACATAATGATCGCATACATTTATCAAAAAGAATCAATTCTTCATGGCAAGCGACAAGGCCATTTGAAATCCAAGGCATACCTTCGGGCGTTCGTCGCGTTGACAATCGTTCAGTTCATGTGACTTGCTTATCAAAGTTTTTTTTCTTGGCCAATTTCAGGTAAATACACCAATACTGTTTTGATGCTAACTTTGAAAGCTGCTGTTAGCTCAGTATCGCTAGATTGAGAAGTCGTCGTGGCCTAACGGATAAGACGTCCGATGCATTCGTGTTGAGCGATGCACCGATGTTCGAATCTCAGGCGGGTACCAATTTTTATAATGAAATACGTACTCAACAAATGTTCACGATTGACTTCCACGGTGAAGGAATAACATCGTGTAATAAAAATGAAACCCGCAAAATTATAATTTGCGTAATTACTGGTGGTCGGACCTCTTGTGAGTCCGCGCGGGTGGGTACCATCGCCCGCCTATTGCTGCCGTGAAGCAGTAATGCGTTTCGGTTTGAGGGGTGGGGCAGCCGTCGTAACTATACTGAGACCTTAGAACTTATATCTCAAGGTGGGTAGCGCATTTACGTCGTGGATGTCTATGGGCTCCAGTAACCACTTAACACCAGGTGGGCTGTGAGCTCGTCCACCCATATAAGCAATAAAAAAAAGAGTATCGTTAATTTTGATAAGATTTGTGAGCAGTTTGTGCGGAATCGGTACCGCATTTGAACACGTATTTCATAATTTCTCGTATTTTTACCGTTGATTAAAATACACAAATGTAGTGAAAATAAAAAACCAATCCACGTACAAATGATTGAAAACATAATTTCATGTATGTAAAATAAAATTCATTCGAATTTATCGCCAATCATGCATAAGTTACGATTCAAATGGCCAGTATTGTAAATCGGCAACACTATTGTGATGTATAGAAATAAAAGTCAGCTTATTAAGGGTGTATAATATCTCGTTGCTGAACCAAGCCATAATTTATTTTATCAAAAATTCAAAGTCTGTTTTGGATATTAACTTTAACAGTTTTAAAATAATAATAAAAAGCACCTAACCGACCTGTTATATTTAAATTAAACAGTCCGCAACTATATGTGATTGACTTAACTGCGTGATGTTGAAATTGTGCTCTACACGGTAACAACACTGAACAGATTTTTGATCAGAGGCCAATCTAATGTAGACTACTTTTCAGACAGTTCTATTCATGTCTATTTTGTATAATGTGATTTATATATGTCGCATATTCCAATTACCACTCAATGGCCGCCATATTGTTTTTTTTAATCAGTAGTAAATTGTTTTATAACGATATCTACATCCATCATGAAAAAGATTCCTAAATTTTATTCTATATTTTTCTGTGGTAAAACTACACTCCTAATCGGTATTAAAATCGTGACAATTCGTTAGAGCTGGTTAGAAGCCTTGAATCCGAATGAAACTTAATTAATCGATAGCACAAACTTCTGCAAATATTCTTTTACTAACATTACGGACACTGACATACTTTAGTGCCGTAAATCATCCATTAACTATGGGAATAAGGTCACGCCAAACCGCTTGAGCGATGGTTCAAAGGGAAATGAAAGTAAGCGAAATGTGGCTAGACCTAAATCGCCTCACAATCTAGATTTCAGACGGCCGATGGCAGCCTATACTTAAATTTTAAGCGCTTTAGGGAGCTTACAAAATCTAGTTAGCTTTAGTACATTGTTAGGTTACAAAAGAAGTCAGTGTAATTTTGTTTTATTTTTCTTGTTGATCTAAGATATAAGGTTGTTTAAGCCTTAACAACTGACGACCTTTTTTTGTGCGTATTCTTTATGACTTGTTATTAGCTTAGTAATTGTGGCTTTAGCAGAATTGACGTGACAAACGAATCCGGATTTATAAATTGTTAAGAAATTTTAATTAACGATTTTCTTTCGGATCTATTGTTCTAGAAAGAAAACAAAACATCGTTGGTGACTATGATCGCAATAAATATACGTTTAACTCGTTTTTTTTTTTGCAAAAAATACACCGGCATGCCATTTAAGGCAAATCATTGGCTTGGCAGTCTTAACTTAAAGTTAAAGAAATGTTTGTATGTAGCATTATATTTTTCATTACAACGGCATTCTCGAATATTCAATGATCATACTGTTGTCTCACCCCTTAACCGAGAATTTCTTTAGTGGCTGATGTTTTTCGCCTTGACTATAAATAAATTGCCGTGGGTGAAGGTGAAAAAAAATGCCTACGTAAGATGAAGGTAGTTTAAGAAACGCGTTACCTTGAATTAAAGATTCCGTTACAGGCAGGGAATTTTATGGTGTCGTATGTATCAGTATCCTGCTTATATCTTCTGGCAGGCATTTTCGTGTTTTGGTTCGATAGATAAGTATAAGTAGGGTAGGCTTATGATATGAAAAAAAAAGTCATGTCCCAAATCGCGCACCGGGTTTCGTGAACTGCGAGCCCTGATGGATATTCAAAACAAGGATCCGCTCCTGACCATAAAAAGTCCATTCAAAGTCACCATCGAAATGTATAAATTGAAACAAAGGTAGCCCTCGCGGTCGTTACGAAAAAAAAATTGGATTAATTAAATCGCGATGCGGTCGATCCAATTAATTGATTCCGATAACGGATGCTTTCATAACATGCGTGCATTGATCTCTCTTGATGTATGACTCTAAGCGTTGGGGTTTGTTCAGGCTTTTATTTATTGATACTAGCTGACCCGGCAGACTTCGATCGATAAATAAAAGACCTAAGCTTTCGTATAAAATTAACTTAAAACAAACAAAATGAATCCGTCCGACGGGGGACACCTCAAAGGAAAAACAAAATTGTTAATTTTATTTAATTCCGAGCATTTTCATATTTAAATCTACCTTTTTAAACCTTCTCTGGACTTCGACAAATAATTCAAGATCAAAATTAGCCAAATCGGTCCAGCCGTTCTCGAGTTTTAGCGAGACTAACGAACAGCAATTCATTTTTATATATTACGAGATTAATGAAATTATTATGCTCGTAAATTACCGTGTAAAGTTCGCTTTCACGAGGAGATGCCTTAACAAAATGCAATTAAATTTATTCTAATCCAAATATTTAAATGGGATATACACTTTATTACTGGTGGTAGGACCTCTTGTGAGTCCGCGCGGGTGGGTACCACCACCCTGCCTATTTCTGCCGTGAAGCAGTAATTCGTTTCGGTCTGAAGGGTGGGGCAGCCGTTGTAACTGTACTTGAGACCTTAGAACTTGTATCTCAAGGTGGGTGGCGCATTTACGTTGTGGATGTCTATGGGCTCCAGTAACCACTTAACACCAGGTGGGCTGTGAGCTCGTCCACCCATCTAAGCAATAAAAAAAAAAACACGAGTGAGACATTGCCAACGATTCTCAAATTTTCCTAATTTTGTGGTGTTTATTTTTATTGTTTGGTAATTTACACTTATATATGGTATGTATGTAGTTGAAATTTAATATAAATTTCATTGCCCCTACCATTTTTTACTCTGCCCTCCGTTTGGTTGACTGGTAGAGAATGTCTTAGGCATTAAGTCGGTCCAGTGTCAATTTTAAATGAAGTGTAATAAATAAATAAAACAAATAAATAATTATTAAGTCATTCATAAATCGATACCTATTTGCGTTAAAAAATTGTAGGAGTTGTGCAATGAGTAATTAAAGAATAAAACAGTTGAATAACACATCATAAATATGCTATAAACCTTGAGAGGAAAACTTCAGAAACAGTTTATCGGCTCAGTGAAACCGTTCAAGTAATATTGACAGATTCATCACCCTCGAAAAGTTTTAAAGATCCGAATTTACTTTCGCCGGAAACTTTTCAACTTTTATAATTCCATGTCGAATAATTTGTCATAAAATCATTATTGACCTATGAGGGATTCAATGGAATTACGATGTTAAAGTTATTAAGAGAAAGAGAGAGAGAGAGAGAGATAATTCTTTATTGTACACCAAAAAAATAAACAATGCGAAACACTATTATTTCTCACCTCCACAAAGATTCTCATCACTAACGCCCCCGCAACTGGTGTTGGGAGTCCAACACTCATATAAATATTAGCCTATCCATTAAGTACATGTATTTTCTACATGGATATCAAGTTTCAAGTCAATCGGATGCATGGTTCAGTAGTTATAACGGAACATCCGTAAAAACCACTGTAGATTTATATATTAGTATAGATATTTCAGTCGCATTTCTTTGATTATCATTAGTGTCATCGTGTATCTTACGAGGGCACAGAACGGGCCTTGGGACGAACTGCCCGGGTAGAAGCTCCCTATCTTATGAGTTAGGGGTGATTGGAAGCTGGGGTGTAAACGGAACACAGTGACATTTAAATAGACCTAATAATTTTTAATAAGAGGTTGCCATGGCGGTA